TCGCCGCAGCTGCAGCAGCAGCAGTTGCTGCTGCTGCAGAAGGAACATGCACAGCTGCAGCAAACTCTGTCCTCTTTTTTTGCTGCCGCTGCTGCTACCTCTGCAACAGGAGCAGCAGCAACAGCAACAGCAGCAACAGCAGCAGCAGCAACAGCAACAGCAGCAACAGCAACAGCAACAGCAGCAACAGCAGTATCAGCAGCAGCAACTTGTCAAGTGGTTGTCTCCTGCATAAAATCGAAACAAAAAAAATGAAGTTTGACGTCTGTTTGCTTGTAAAATTCTTCTGCTGCACAACGGCCAGCGGTTGCTGCCATTGTTGCTGCTGCTGCTGCTGCTGCTGCTGCTGCTGCTGCTTCGTACTGCCACTAGTTCAGGCAGCTGAAACACCAAGGATCAGCAGCAGCAGCTGCTGCTGCTAAAACGACTGCAGCAGCAGCAACAGAAGGGGAGTGGTGCTGCAGTTGCTGCTGCTAGCTGTCACTGCCGCTGCTGCATTTTTTCATTGCATGCATTTGCTGCAGCAGTTGCTGCCGCTGTCGCCGTTGCTGCTGCTGCTGCTGCTGCTGCAGCTGCTGCAGCTGCATGCACCGGCAGCCTCGAGGCCCCTCTTCTTGGCCGTCAGCACCCGCAGGCGCCCCAGCAGGCGTCTGTAAACAGCAGGAGATACACCGCAGCTGCACTGTACATACACCCCAACTGCCCCCAAACATTACTTATATACAATAATATAATTATATATACATAATGTATATATTGTATATAATTTAGATCTGAACTATACAAGTTTTCGCTTGTATGTATCTTACAGATGCGGCCACTCACCTGTACACGCTGAAGTGTATGTACAGCTCAGCCGCGACAACAATGAGGGCCAGCAGCGCGGAGAAGTCGCGCAGCATCAACAGCCACCTGCTGGCGCTTCTGCTTCTGCTTCTGCTGCTGCTGCTGCTGCTGCTGCTGCTGCTGGTAGGCATTGGGAATTTGTAGTTGAGTCTGTCTACCTCGCTGGCCTCTCGCCATGCTTTGTGCATGCGCTGGATGGTGTGACGCTTTGATGCGCCTATTGTTCGGGTGTACATCCACCTGCCTATCTGCAGAATGAGAGCTGCAGGGATCACCGACTGCAGCACTTGATTTATTTCTCCGCCCCACTGCAGCAACTGGGACCCCAGGAGGCGGACCCCCTCCAGCACCGCCACAGCCTCTCCCAGCATCCGCACAGAGTCCCTCACACATGTCTGTACACTCGGTTCGCTCTGCTCCTGTCTCGCTGCATGCGTCTGTCGTGCGCTGAAGGGGCCCTGTGGCTGCATGTAAGCCAAAGAGGGGGGCCCATAGAAAGCCCCAGGGCCGCTGCAGCCGGGAGGCTGCATG